GTAGGCTGTCAGTAATGGCTACGCCTCTCTATTTGGACTGGTAGATCTCGGCAGACTGGCAACTTTAAAAGTAGCTCTCGGTTCAAAAAAGGTTGGGCACCCCTGACTTACAGTATCTTCTTGATTTTGTATATTCTATATTTCTATCATTCACATTCTACTTTCCCCCTATGAAAGTATGTACTCTTAATTGTTTTCATCAAATAACATTATTCAACAAAAATAACATTATTCAACAAAAATAATTCAATAACGTGCTTTAACCACTAGGCGGTGCACACAAGGTACACACAGCATACTAATAATAACTTTGTATTATTAGAGTAGGACACTTATGTATGTATAACATCTGAAGATGTGTAGTTTTATTCATGTTTTTACATAATTTTACAGGATATTGCTATACTATTTCTCATGTTTTACTTCTACACATTAATATCTGATTTGTAAAACATCACAGACAGAAAGGTATATCCGTCATTTAATGGTAAGCTATTGAAATTGTGATTCCATAGATGTGTCTCCCATCACCCAAATCCCCTGACTATTCTCTCAACTCAGTATTTACATTCTTTAATTAAAAGAAAATCAGGATCTTGGGTAATCTGTTCAGTGGGTTTGTGGTGTGTTTAGCTCGAAATGTCCCTTATAGGCCTACGTCTGTTTCCAGTGACTTTATTTACGGCTAAAAAGCATGCTAAAAAGCCCAAGATTATAGAATTAAACGAATAAATAAGAACAAGGATAATTGTGTGTTATTGTTGAGTAAATAACAGTGTGTTATTTAGAAAAGAATAACAAATTAGAAGGAAAAAAAGATTTTCAAAAATACAGATTTCAGTATTTTGAGGCTCTAAGCCACATTTATTTTCCTCACAGACGGGAAAAAAAGTCTGACATTATACGATTTAAAATAAAAACAAATAAATAAAAAGATAAAACACTGTCATGTAATTTACGTTAGAATAAATAGAATGGTTTTGAATAATATATGAGAGTAAAATCTACGTCACTTTACAGCCCCGCCCACTTTTGGGGAAACGAACGCTGTCATTTGAACGCCGATCAAGCCTGAAGCCACAGAGATACTAGGCTTGTTTGAGACAAGCAAGACCTGCGCAGACCTGCGCAGTTGCGATCAACGTCTTGCTAGTGCGTTGCATGATGGTTAGTCGTTTTGTCCGACTTGCTCTGGAGGCCCGCCCACATGAGACTTTGAAATTTCGCGGGACAAAGACGCCCGCAGCCTTGAGAGCGAGGCGAGGCGAGTTGGCGCAGTTGCTCTCCACGGGCTGCGGAAGCGAAATGCTTGATGGGAAACGGCTCGCTGGTATCTCGAGCTGAGCGCTCATTGGTGGTTGTCCACAATGTTTATCATCATGAAATTATTATCTATATATTTTATACTATACTGCTTACCGTTTTCATACTTTATATACAGTGGCGGCGGGTCATTAGGGGCAGGTGGGGCACAGCCCCACCTAGTGTCAGAAGAAAGTATTACAAATAATGATTACAAAAAAATACTAAAAAATAAATAAAAAAACATATAAAATATATTTTAAGGTCATGTTTAATAATCTGATTCGTCTGTACATTTCTGTTTTAGTCTGTGTTCTTCTAATTAGTGTCTAGAGTGCCGTTTTGAGCTGTTTAGAGCCATGTGGGACAAAACCCGATCCTGCCCCTCCCTCTCACAGTCTAAGTGAACGGTGATTGTAAAAACTACACTGCGCATGCTCAGAGTATTTTTCTATTTAATGTGTGTGGCAAAAAAATAATGACCGTAGGGGCATAGTGCTCCCATCCCCACCATACGTCATCTCACATAATTCAGAATTGATTGGCTGTAAGTACTCACGTGTGCAGTGCTGCGAAACGTCACGTGTAGTTTGAAGAGGAGACGAGAGAGCAGCATTTAGCTAACATCACCAGCGATTAAAAGAAGTAAAAACCTGAAAGAAAATGAATGAAGTTGACCATTTACTGGAGCACACATTTGAGACACTTAGTCTCGGAGAGAAACTGGAGGTAAAGCGCCTCGGTGCCCACCATCCACCGGATTTCCAAATGGTCCAGACTGCGGGCAAAGTTAAACGTGGGTTTAACGCTGAGTGGTTTGCTAAAAAGAAATGGCTAACAGCGAGCATCCAGAAGAATTCCCTCTTTTGCTTTCCTTGCCTGCTTTTTGGTGAAGATCAAGGTACTTGGTCGAGGACAGGTTACAAGGACTTAAAGCATCTTTCGGAGAGGACAATGAAGCATGAGAGCAGCAACAGTCATTTGGAAAATGCCGTAAAATTGGGATTACTTGGAAGGGTGAATGTTGCAGCTCAGATTGACAGCGCCTACAGACGCGGCATTGATTCTCATAATAGGAAGGTGGAAGAAAACAGGTACGTGCTTGGTCGGATCATCACCTGTATTAAACTGTGTGGGAAATGTGAGACAGCACTGCGGGGCCACAACGAGTCGGCGGACTCTCTGAATCCAGGGATATTCAGGTCAATTTTCGAGACAATGTGTGAGGGCGATTCCAGGCTTCAACGGCACTACGAAGCTCAGCTTGTTTTCAAAGGGACATCAAGCACCATACAGAATGAACTCTTGGACTGCATGTATGATGTGTACAGGGAGGAAATAGCCAAGCAAGTGGACAACACATCATTTGTTGCCGTTCAGGCCGACGAGACAACCGATGTCTCCTGTAAATCGCAAATGGTGATTGTGCTGCGATACATTATGCCTGACCTCACAGTTACAGAGCGTTTTTTGGAGTTTGTGGAAGTAAAGGACAAAACTGGTGTAGGTCTCTCTAACAGCATCAAGGCTGTTCTGGAACCCCTGAAGCTGAAAGAAAAGCTAATCGCTCAGACCTATGACGGGGCGGCCGTCATGAGCGGTAACGTGCGCGGGGTACAGACGGTGATGAAGGAGACGTACCCAAACGCTCAGTTTGTTCACTGCTACGCCCACCAACTGAACCTGACCCTGCAGCAACTGTGTTCAGCAAGGATGAGCATCCTGAAGGTGTTTTTTGCAGATCTAACTGCTTTTTCCACTTTTTTCTCCGGTGCTCCAAAACGTGTTGCAGCTCTTGCAGAGGCAACACAGAGACGCATCCCACGGCCACCGGCTGTGAGATGGAACTTTAAAAGCAGAACTGTGAACGCGGTTTGGGAGACCCGAGATGCACTACTTCAGTGTATGAAGCATATACGCGCACAACCAGGATGGGATGCGGTCACCATAAGTGAGGCATACGGCCTGTCAAAGAAACTGCGGGGACCGAGCATTTATGCAGCTCCTGGAGTTTTTTTTCGTTGCTTATGCCAGAAGTGGATGTTCTATACAACACTCTGCAAAAACGAAGCATCGATGCACCTGGGATCAACAGCGCGCTCTGCCGTTTCAAGGAAAATGTTCAGAAAATGAGGCAGAAAACTGATGCATTGGCCACCACTGCTCATGATGGAACAGACGAGCCAGGCCGACGAGTCAGCAGCACAGCGCCGGTGATGAAGGAGGCTTGTGACACAGTCATCTCACAGGTGGAACAGAGGTTCTCACAGAGTGACCATTTGATCGCTGCAAAGCTTGTTGACAGCTCATTCTTCCCACAGCATGTCCTGTCATTTCCTACACCTGAGCTTGACTGCGCCGTGAAACTGGCCTGCGTTGGGAAACAAGGAGAAGTTGAAGTCTGAGCTGACCACGCTCTACCGCCACAGTGAGCTTCACACTGGAAACACTGCCCTGTCTCTGTTGAAATCCATTCACGAGAACAACTTGGAGGAAACGTTTGCTGAGACTGTGATTTTGGTCAAAATAATAGTGACAACTCCGATGACGACATCCGAGTCAGAGAGGAACTTTTCCACCCTCAAAAGGATAAAGACTTTCACTCGCAACACCATGGGACAGCCGCGACTTAACGCATTGGCCATGCTTTCAATTGAAAGCCAGTTGATCCAGCAACTACAGGACTTCATCCCCAAAGTGATAGACACATTCTGTCAGAGGAAGGACCGCCGTGCCGCTTTTCTTTTCAAGTGAGCCTTCAGCTTTGGTAAGTTCATTTATGTCATATATTTTTTTGATCTTCTGTGTTTTGCCTCTGCTGGATCGATTGATATTGTGACCTCGATGATGAGTGTCTGTGTTTTCCTTATATTTACAGTCTATGGTGTTTTAATGCTAAAGCATTACGGTTGTTGTTATTGTTAAGAATTACTTTGTGATGGTGACCTTTACTCCATGTATGAAGGTGCATTACTATGACATCCCCACGCTGTGTACGTAAATGTATGCGCTCACAGTGTTGCTCCTGTGGTCTTCAGTATGTAATTTGACACTCCCCCTCTCTCTCTCCTCCCCCCCTCTCTCTGTCCCCCCTCTCTCTCTCCTCCCTCTCTCTCGCTCTCTCTCTCCCCCGACCTCTTTCTGCCCCCCCAGTTTAGTACACCTAGAAACGCCACTGTTTATATATCTTAGCATATTCATACACACTGTTCATACTGCTCACAGGCTGATATCTAGTGTATTCATACCCCACTGTTTATTCATCATTCAATTCATTCTATATGTTATTCTGTAGATTGTGTACATTACTTTCCACTTCACTGCTTGTTGCACCTGGTTAGAAGCTAAACTGCATTTCGTTGTCTCAGTACCTGTAATATGTGCAATAACAATAAAGTTTCTCTTTAAGTTAAACCAAATCATTAAAATAAAATCTATTGTAATGTAATGATTTGGTTTAACCTTATTTATTGAATACATCATTTAAAATGGCAAGATTAAATCAAATTACATCCATGTTGTACACATCATAAAGCTTAAAGTGGCAGCTAAAGAATTAACACAGCAGCAGGTCTGTTCAATTCATGCTCATTAAGCTTCATGTGTGCGGATCTGAAGGGACTGATCATTTGTAGCCTGTCCACCTATCAGTTTTGCAAACATTAAGAGGGAGGAGCATTTCTAATTATGGAACCCAGTCATGACTGAATTAACAAACCTATATAAAGCAATGGAGATCACCTTTGTCTACAGTGGGTAAAATGGAATTTGTGGTGCTTACACTGTGTGACGAACAGAGTTGGGTGTAACGCGCCACAAAGTAACACGTTACTGTAATAATATTACTTTTGTCGGTAACGGAGTAGTGTAACGCGTTACTTTTATAATTTAGTAATCACACTACAGTTACTAACATTGCCCCGACACGCGTTACTTCGTTACTTTTATAAAATAATCACACTCACTGACAGACTAGAGGGGTTTCCGCCGCAGGTTTATATACATGTAGGCCTATGTAATCTGCGCGACTTGCGAGACCACATCTCCACGTGCAGTGCTGCATAAACATGGATGAGTCATCTGTAAACTCCCTCAACGGGGCCGCTCGCTCTCTTTTGTTGATCGCCCTCTCACGGGTGAACAGTTCAATGTCCCGCTTCATTGTAGGAATTCTGCCATGTCTCTACCACTTTAGTTTGACCATCTCTGTTATCAATCAATCAATGTTTATTTATATAGCCCAATATCACAAATGTTACATTTGTCTCAGTGGACTTTACAGTTTGTACAAAATATCAGTATGACAATACGACACCCTCTGTCCTTAGACCCTCACATCGTACAAGGAAAAACTTCCGGAGAAAACCCACAGTTTAAAGGGAAAAATGGGAGAAACCTCAGGGAGAGCAACAGAGGAGGGATCCCTCTCCCAGGACGGACAGACGTGCAATAGATGCCGTGTGTGAATTGAAAAGATAATACATTTGCAACATAGGTAGGTACTAAGTTATGGAATACTAAATAAATAAGTAATTAGATACCTTACCGTTACTGCGCTCATAAAGAATGATAAGAATAATGCGTCTTGAACTGGTTTAATTCATTAGTGTCTTGACGTTTCACAGACTGTTAGCTTGTTGTGTGGCTGGTAGCCTATTTGAGAGCATATAAAAAGAAAGACTTGTGTTATGTCTTCCTTAATGCAATAGTAATTGGGGGTGCAAGAGGCAAAACTGTGGCGCGCACACTGTAGGTGCGCCGCAGTCTGTGTGATCTGCCTGTAGGGAGGGGCGGGCCGGCCCTGCGAGTAAAGTAACGAGTAAAGTAACGAGTTACTTTATGTAGAGAGTAACGAAGTAGTGTAATATATTACTTTTTTTAAAAGTAATATGTAATATGTAATATATTACTTTTTTTTAGTAACGACCCCATCTCTGGTGACGAACAGGGAGACATCACTGTAAGAGTCTCACAAGACATTTCCCAAAGACTACAAAATGGTGAGTAAACAACTAAATTGCATTCCAACAATCTGGATATGATTTTAAATGATGTAAATTATTTTTCAGATAACAGTTTAGCAGCTGCACTTATGCAGCAAGCAAGGGCTGCAACAAATGCACAAGGTAATCTATCATTTAAATCAAAAATGGTATTGTCTTTTAATGCAAATCAAACAAATGACATATTCATGTTTATTGTAAACAAATATTTAATTTTCTCTCAATCACAGTCCCTTTAGATCTGTCTTCAGATGCTAGGCCTGCTCCTGAAAGGCCTGCTCCTGATGAAAGACCTGCTCCTGACGAAAGGCCTGCTCCTGATGAAAGCAGGCCTTTGGGGGACCCTGATGTAAACAAGACGAAAGTCTTTCTCTGGTCTGCATCCCCTTAACAATTGTATGTTTTGAGCTGTACTGTACTGTACCCAATATACAAGCTGTTAATAAACTTTTCAATCAATCAATCAATCAAAGACCTGCTCCTGACGGAAGGCCTGCTCCTGATGAAAGACCTGCTCCTGACGAAAGGCCTGCTCCTGATGAAAGGCCTGCTCCTGTAAGGCCTGCTAGATCCCAAGCTGGCACTCCTCACCTGGCATCCCCCTCCAACCGGTCAGAACACCTTGAGGCAACACAAGGTACAGTAACTAAAATGAGGATCTAAACAGCAAATGCTATTTGTTTGAGTTACTAACACTTGTGTCTTAACAGATTTCACACACAACACCATACTGCTGCTTTTGGACCTGACAAAAACACACCAACAGGTGTACTATCACTCCAAACCCGGTTTTTACAAAATTCTACAACGGCAGTTCAGCAAGGAGGGATACAGTTTCTCCTCAGACAAAATCCGGAAAAAACTCAACAACCTTTTGACCACCTACAAAAGGGCCAAGGACCGTTGTACCTCAACAGGAGAGGGGAACATAACGTGGGAATATTATGGGGTAAGAAGTTTGTTCTTGCACATCTAGTTGGTAAAAGCAACATTTCCATTTGAACAATTCTGCAATTCCACAGATAATGGACAACCTGTTTGGGAGGTGCGGTGTTGGGAGCGCACCTCCAGGCACTGTTGTTTCCACCCCTCTATTACCCACTGCCTCACAACCATCCACCACACTGCCGTGTGCCTCTGAGGCCCAGCCTGGTCCCTCCATGACCCTGCCCACCACACTGCCGTGTGCCTCTGAGGGCCAGCCTGGTCCCTCCATGACCCTGCCCACCACTCAGCCGAGATCAATCCGGTCTCGAGTCTCCCATCCCTCCTTCTACGACCTGTATGAGGCCCACTCGGAGAGGAGGACCAGTGCACTGGAGACACTGGTGCGGCCAGAACAGGAGCGCCGGAGAAGGCTGAAGGAGAGAAATAGGAGGAGGTTTGAAGCTAAAATGTTGACTGCGATGGGAGAAGTTGTTTCCCAGTTAAAGTCCATTGGGAGCCAACAAGAGCGCATCATTGAGCTTTTGCAGGACAAGCCCAATATGCCATAATTTCCCCCGCACTGGGTATTCCCTGAATTAATTTGTTTATAAAGAACACCACCTCAGTTTGTTTATGGAAGTAATATTGTTTAGATTAGTTATTTATTTTCCTCGTTATGCAGTTGAGTTATTATTTCATCCCTGGCAATTGCCTTGTAATATTTGTATTGGTATACACTAAGTGTTCACAATGTTTATATGCAATTATTATTTATTTGCCAAGTACATGTGTACATATGTATATATAGTTATTTCATTTTCAAAGAAGATAGTCAACTGCTATTGACATGTGCAGAAAATGACCATATCTAGTTTTCATATATATGCATTTATTTTTTACTTGCCCAATCATTTTGGATGACATTACATGTTACTTGTTAGGCGCTTTAATCCAAAGCAACTTACATACTCAATACTGTGGGCATAAAAGGAAACGAAATGAAAAACAAATGTCTTCCACAAATAATATGACAGTGGTTATTTGTGGGGGGGGGGGGGGGGGGGGGGGGGGGGTGTGTGAGCTCTTTAAAAAAGGTCACAAATCTGATTTCTGTGCAACACTGCATCTTGGTTCTGGGGATGCGGTGCCCTGTTATCTGCTGCTTCAACCTGCTCATCAACTTCAATTGCTTCCCCTTCCTCCAAGCACATGTTGTGAAGTATGCAACAGGCAGTGACTGTTGTGCTAATGTTTGCAATGTTTTTCATGTACAAACATTTGAGCCTCCGGAACTTCGTTTTCAGTAGGCCAAAGGTATGCTCAATGACCACGCGTGCAACATTTAATTTTTGATTGAAACGACGCTGCCGAGCAGTTAAATGGCCATTGTCCCTGTATGGCCTCATAAGCTGAGGCAATAGTGGGTAGGCAGAGTCCCCAATGATGTGCATTCCCTCAGGCACCAGGGACTGGGGATCTTCATCAAGCAGCCTTCCAACAGCAGACAACCGGAATGCCCGTGCATCATGCCAGCTACCAGGGTGGCCCACATTAACATGACAGAATCTCCGTTTACTGTCACAGAACCCAGTAAGCACAACAGAATAAAACTGTTTTCTGTTGATGTATGCTACTGGGTTCTCACAGTGTGGTTTCACAATAGGAATGTGGCATCCATCTACCGCACAGACAGTGTTGGGAAATCCTGCTGCACGAAATCCTAACTCAGAATTATGTAGGGCTTGCCCTGTGGGCCAGGAAATGTGGTGAGACAAATATGTGGTGACAAGACTACAGAATTCATGGAGATGCAGGCAGACAGTGGATTTGGTGATATTGAAACGATCAGCAACCCCCCTATAGGACTCCTGGTTTGATAGAGTCCACAGACAGGCAAGAACACTGTTTTGAAGCGGCACTTTACTGTGCTGTCTGTTCCAGTAGAACGGGCCAATAGTCGTCATCACATCCTGTTTGGTAGAAAGGAATAAATGGCTTTTAATATCACCAGTCCAGATAATACATATTTGATGTTATTTATATATATATATATATACACACACATACTTCCACATGTCCCCTGGACAATCGGAAATGACTTTTGAAGTCTGAAGGACTGTACTGTGGGACCACTTCTTCCACAAATTGTTGGACCTTTGGAACGGATCTAAGGAAGGCAGACACAGGAGCAAATGATGACCATAAATCATTAGACCTATTCAACATTCTTTATATATATATAACTGCTGCTGCTGCTGTAGGCCTATATTATCTTCACTTGATTTCAGTTGTATTCTTGTTTATTTATTGTATCTTTGTACTACTATCTTGCTTGCTTTCTATATCTTTAGTAAAGTAGCTTTTATCTTATCCCATTGGACTAAAAAAGACTAATAGTGTCATAATTTTGCACAATTTGTGATCTTTAGAGTAAAGTAATCAGTCCGGATAATCGATCATACTTTTTAATTTAGACTGATGCAACAATATATTTTGTCTTTTTACTTGTGTATTGTATTGTGTATCTGTTTTTGTTACCTGCCTAGGTAGCCTACTACGGATGTAAATTAGCACGTTTGCTCAAACACATTTATACTTCTTGTATTTTATACTGATGTTCATTAACATGCTCTGTCCCTATCAAATTAAAAAATAAAAAGATACGTAATTACCTCCGCAGACGGTGTTCATCATGCCATTCTCCATACAATACATGTGGGATTTCTATTGCATCCACTTCATCTGCAACGAAAAACGCCAACGCAATTTCCGCCATTGCAAACCCAGCCAGTCAAGCCGACTCCGACTCCGAGCTGTCCGACTTAAGACGAGCTTTTTGACACCTCCCCCGGCTGCGATCGGCTACTCTCGTCTACTTTCGAGGCGAGCCGCAATGTGTCTCAAACAAGCCTCTTCTGTTACTGTCCTTTCTCTTAGAGGAAGTACAGAAACACGTAACTCTGGATTTGTTTTAATGTTTGAGGTGCAATAAACAACACAGCAGCTTTTTGGCATCTTAAAACTATTATTTTCTGCCTCGCTCATGAGAGTAACAGCTGGCGAAATTACAGCCTCGCCTACTGATTTCAAATGTGTGCTCTAAAATGATATTTATAAATGACTATTATCATTATTATAAGCAAGACAATACATGGAAATGATATGTAGAAAATAAACGTATTTAAGATACGTTCATAAGAAACGTAACGTGGGAGAAAATATGTTTCTAGAAGATATGTAGAAAATAAACGTATTTGAGATACGTTCATAACGAACGTAACGTGGGAGAAAATAAGTTTCTTGCTAAACGTAATTGAGAATGCAGTTTAGTTCTGTGGGAACGTAATTTTTAGGAGACAGGGTTGGATCCAGGTGGAGGGATTATATCTCTTCGCTGGCCTGGGAGCGCCTTGGGATCCCCCAGTCAGAGCTGGTTGATGTCGCCAGGGAAAAGAAAGTTTGGGGCTCTCTGCTGGAACTGCTACCCCCGCGACCCGACCACGGATAAGCGGGAGAAGATGGATGGATGGATGGATGGATGGATGGATGGGTTGGATCGTCACGTGGTTCAGAGAGACTCAGAAAGTTCCCGGAAGTTCGTGGCGGGCCATTTGAATCACGATTTGAATACATTAATAACAGGATAGAAATGCAATTTTTGGTAATTAGTGGTCAATAAAGGTTTGGATTTGCAATATGTATACAACATATCGATATGTGTATGTAGTTACATCAATGTGTTTTTGTTTTTATTAAGTAAAATGTGCTAATATTTGAGGATTAAGATAAAATAAGAAATACTTTATTGATACCAATTGGGGAAATGTTTACGCTGCAGCAGCAAAAGACAAGGCGTTGTACGTTAGACAGTTAAAAGACTAGAATTAAAGAATCGAAAATGTAAACATCTTAAATAGAAATAACATAGCATTACAAAAAGTAGAAAATATACATAGTGTGAACAGCTATCTTACCTGTTAACATATACATGTTAGGCTAGCGTTGCCTTGGTTACAGAGCCTGTTGCTGTTGTTTATTGCTTTGAATTCTTTAAAACAAATATTATCTTCTTAAACTTGTATGGTAGTCAGGAGCATCACATCCTAATGTGTATTGATATATTTAGAGGGAGGGAAAATTCAAAATTCAGATTAGAATAATTTCTACCATTTCTTTAATTCATGGTGGTTTCAGTAATCCCCTGGTAATTGAGGACAGAAGTAATCTAAAGTACTAATGTAATCTTTATGACTTTCAGAAAGGACAGGAGACCCACAGGTGCCTATCAATGATTGTCAACTGACAGCACAATGAGTCAAAGCACTAGCAGCAGCAGCATGATGATGATGTTAAATGTGTTGTTTTAGGAACATCCATGTAAATAAATGGAATTCAATAAACATTGAATAGCATGCATGCAGTTTGTCTGTGCCTTTTCCTCTGTGTTGTCCCCCCCCCCCCCCCCCCCCCCCCCATGGTTTGCTGTGCTGCCTGGGGATGCTCCAAGCGCTCAGAGAAAGGAGTATGAGTGTACGGCTTCCCCACTGACACAGAGAGGAGGAAAGAATGGCTGGCTCAAGTCAGCAGGAGCAATTTAACTATCACAAAAGACAACAACAGCAACAAAACATGTGAGGTAATCATAGTTTTCACAAAACAAAGACCACACCATTGGGAAGCTTAATGTCTGTGTAATCAAAATAAGGAACAGGGAGAGGCTTGCAAAACTCTGGGAGTTGAGACTCAGGCTCAGGGTGAGGGTCTCATTGCAGGTCTTCAGGCTCCATTGAATCCCCCTGGGGTTCTTGTGCTGAAAGAGGGAGACAGGAGAAAGGGTTAGATACATCTAGCAACCTATAGGATGGGAAATTGCTGACCTATTTGAAACTTACCTTGTGTTTTCACTCTCACTTAGGTCCCTCTCCCTTTGCCATCAATCCAACATCAGCTGAGCTGCAACATAATACAGACAGGTAATAATTAACAGAATCACAAGGACATAATATGGCTCTGCTAAAAACACTCACCCATAAGTTACGTTTTAGTTTACTGTTTGGAAGTCTCAAATATCCACTCTAAATCCATATCAATAGCGATGGATCACAACAATAGCTCTCTTCCTTATTATTGTGTAACGTTCGTTAACTATATTATACTAGCTTGAACTCTAAAATGGATATCCTCATTTCACCACCTCCACCCACTACAATCACACGCCCCAATGTTATATTTAACTAATATGTAACTTCCTTCACCACCCCGGATAAAAGCATGTTTAGCCCCTTTTCTCTAATTCCACAACGTTGGATGAAATAACATTAAGAGAACGGATGAACGGCTGTTCATGGTTAACGTGTGTTGCTAACTTTATCCGGTATCCTAGCCTAATCTGTTTAGTTGTCCGGTTGAAAATTAACGCAAGCTCTATGCCCATTGTAGAACAGGAAACAGAAGTTGGTCCAGGTTCTGGTCGACCCAAAATTGTGATAGAGAGAGAAACATGTTTTGTCATTCTGCCACCTCTAATGCTTACAGCAAGTAATCAATACCTCAGAAGGGTTCATGTACATGTAGGCTACGTTTTGTTAGCGGTTTGCTTAAACTACCCCTATAGCTATGTTGCCAGCTAGCAAACTCAGGCATTGCAAACAATAACGTGATATCAGAAAACTAGAAATGTATAACTCACCTGATACTGTGGCGTGCTATTCTCTTCATCCGAGTCTGTCATGTCCTGTAAATGTCAACGATAGATGTGTAATAAGAACGTCAACAGCCTGATGGCAACCGAAAATCCCTCTCTCATCTCAGATAGAAGATATGATTGGAGACGACCAGCCAATCAGAATTTACCTTCTCGAGTTCTCCGATTGGTTGGTTTTGTGGCACATTTGTAACGCTGTGACAACTTGAGCGAGCGCAGGCAAAGCTGAGCGCGCACAGGCTGGAGAGGTCGAGCGAGCGAGGGAGAGAGAGCGCGTGCAGCGGTCTGCTTGCGCACGGAGCAGGAGTTTTATGTGCTCAAAAATGTTCAAGTGCGCGCTCAATCGCATTTTCTATGCTCAACATGTTTCATTGCGTGCTCAGGATAGAGGCACAAATATAACGCCATACAGCAGTCCCTTCAGACAGACAGGTAGCAGCACCTCCCACTTTACTGTCCCATGTTATGCCGGGTTTTCTTGGCTTATTTTGAAGGTGAGTGGTGATGAACAAATTACTAAACTGCCAGTGCCTCAAGTTTACAGCTAATTAGCTAAAAGACAATAACAAATATAGTTAACTAAGGTCGGCTACTAGCTAATGGATAAGTTAGCTCAAGGTTTAGCTAAGGCAATTTATCATGGCATACAGGCTAATGTACTGTACTTAAGGGGAGAAACTTAAAGTGAATACAGTAAAATGTGTATCTAATAACGTCATCACAATCGCCACAATGCAAATTAGGCGTTAACTAGGCTTAATTAAAATGTGCTAATTTGCATGCAGTTACCAAGGCATTGCAGGTGAAACGAATAAAACAAAAAAACACATCACCTCACAACTTCCCCAGATAGTTACTTACTTCAAGTCAGTATTTCCCCCTGAAATGGATATGTTTAAATGCAGATTAGCTTTAAATCTATAGATGAATTCAGACATGCACACAGCAAAAACCACAGTGTACATTGTACTCTATAAGAGTACATTTAACAACAGTCTCGGGGTGTATATAGGTCCAAGAATTTGGTGTTCTCTGAACACTGTCAAAAGAGTAAAATATAAACTCCAAATAAAGAGTAAGATTTGAACACTTTGGGAGTCAAAATAGACACTATAACTGGTACTTTTTTGACACTGTTTGAGTGCTTTCCAACACGTGCAGTGTAAACCTAGAACCCTCAGAGAGTTAAAAATGTACTCTTAGTCAGTCTTTTAGTGTCACTGTGCAGAGCTGATTATTCAACACTTTGAGAGAGAAAATGTACTCCATGGTCATTTTTCACACTGTTTCACTGCTGTTTAGCTGGTGTACACCAAACAAACAATTTTGGGGTGAATCATTAACACTTCGGGAAATAAAGTACACATCAGATTCTTGAAAACATGCATTAATTTAATTTTTTTTGATTTTGATGTGTTTTAAATATAACATCTAATCAGTAGCAACATCAAACAACCCACAAAATACATTGGTCATAGGTGGAGATGTGTGTACATTTGCTCATTAGGCCTCTTTAGCCTGGGGAAACACTTTAGAGATCATCATTCCAAAATCCTGTTACAACAAATGGACAACGTGGAATACCATACACTAGTGCTATTGTGCAAAGTAAACTGACAAAAATAGTGTTTTGAAAAACTAACAATCACCGAGCAGGATGACCAACATCTAAAAGTGTACATGGCAACCACTTTACATCAATGTTGTAGATGGTGGTCTGCAAAAATGTGTACATGCCATTTAAGGCCTGGTCATAGGAGATCCCAAACACATAATGTGCTTTAAAAAGTTCATCAAAACTGACAGGGACGACTTGGCCTTGCAGGGAAGGAGCTCACCATCCAACGCAATGTAGTACTCATTGCTGTTTCTTGTGGTCCCAACTGCTAGGATGTAGGGTTGCCTCCACTGGACCAGAGTACTCCTGAAGGCTGGAGATGACTGTAAGATAACAATAAACACAAATATAAGTACACTGTACATCATATTTTGATGGATGGGTCAGACACTGACAAAAACCTTTGATAGCAAATCAGATCAGCTCGGCCATTAGTCAAATGCAACATACACATTAATGCAGCAGTAATATAAAACCTAAAAGCATCCCAAAAATAGTAAAGCACTGACAGGGACAATTTCACTGCACAATGAGTGCTTTTACTTATACTTAAAGTACATTTTGCTGATTATACTTGCATAC